CTCCTAGTAGGCAAGAACGATCGCATTATCGAAGCCACTATATATGCATCACAAACTGGTACTCTTACGCACGCACAACTGTCTTGGAGGCGATCTCGCCTTGTCTCGGGTAATAGTGGATAAGATATCCATACACACTCTCTTGCACTTGATTACGACAAGTGTCGCATTCTCCACCATGCATGTTGTCAAACAATCCCTAATTTTCACAAGACAATACAACACTGCTTTACACGCCTATAATACCATTATATGGTAGCACAGGAGGGTAATTTGTAACTTCACTGTAAATATTTTTGCTCTCAAAATAACGCCCTTGGAGCGATCAATTGGTCCCTCATCGTCATGCTTCTGTACATCACTCACTTTCACATTTTCAAATCCTCTGCTTGCTAATCAGTTGCTCACTTCTTCCGTTCTTTGATACTATGATGCTAGTTTTACCATTTTGAGCAGCTAGATGCTCCGATGGTCTTTCGGATCTCCTTCAAAGCTATCAGCATCAAAATCCCATATCTTGATAAATCCGATTGACACATCTGCCACGCCCGCTTGCCTTAAAGAAGCGATTTCTTACATCTGGCATGAGCTCTTGCGTCTTTGTAGACAATTCAGAAAGTTGAAAAATTTTAAATATGCGGAAAATCACAGAAATTCGATTGTAGTTTGGCAGGAACTGTAAAGAAGAATACTTTTAAATACCTCGGGTTCTATAGGCCAATAGTCAGTTGGCTATTAGCCCTTGTTCGAGTCGATTTTTAAGCAACACTCAAATCACTCAGCGCAAAGAGCAATCTTCATTCATGTCAGAATGACTGGCAATTAAAATGCATGCGGAAATATTCAAAAGTAAGCTACTGCGTTGCAAAACATGCCATTAGCAAATGGCACATCCACAATACCCAACCAATGCAATAGTGGATTTGCAAGGTGATGCATTTTCACACTTCCGCATATTGAGTTTGTACTCCCTTCAGCACTTTGCCCTTGTACCACATGATTGCTGCCTGGTAATGTGAAAAGCACAGTGGGATCAGGTACATAAGCTTTTATTTAGAAATTGCTGCACGCAATCAGCACAAGCGTTACATATTTCGTGTTAAAGGAGTAAAGTAGTAGAGGAGAGCTTGTGCAAGGTCAGCCGCCTCCTCTACCTCCGT